GCAAGCACTGCTGACTCTGTTATCTTTCTTCTCCTTTCCTTATTTTCCCGAACCTGGCGCCGGATCTCTAGGTATGATTAAATAGGGGGTTGATGTATAAGAAAAGGAAATGACTGAATCGCTCAGATTGACGCTCGAATAGCACTTTTTCTCCTCACGCACACGCGCACTTTCTCAATCTTTTCTTTTTGGCTTCTCTGATTCGTTTCTTTGCTTTCTGCCTCGATGAAGGCCATCGCTTCAGTGCGAACAGCTCACGTGGACCCAAACCACCCGAGACCGGCCGCCCCGTTCCCGATCCAGCTCGTCGCCTGGACCGGCGCCGTGCCGTCGAACCAGCTCTGGAGCTCACACTCGAAGCCGTCTGTCCCGGGGCCGAGAACGATGGACGCGGAGCCCGGGGAATTGTAAAACGCCGCCACCGCCGCGGCCGTGGTGGGATCGTACGGGTTCGTCGATGATGGCGGGGCCTGCTGCTGCGCCGGCGCGCCGAGGATGGGGCTTGTGGTGTCGAAGGCTGCTGCTTGCACGAGCATGCCCATGCCGTTGTTGGGGCTGTAGGGTGGGGGTGCTTGGGAGTAGATGGGTGGGGAGAACTGGGGGTGTAATTCTGGGGGGAGGTGCTGGTGGTGGTGTTGTTGCATTTGGGGCGTCGGAGGATGTTGCTGGTGGCGTTGTTGCTGTTGGAGTTGGTGGTGTGGTTGCGGCTGGTGTTGGAGCAGGTGGTGTTGTTGTTGGTGGTGTGGAGAGAGGGGTTGATGATGTTGGTGTTGCTGTTGATGATGGAGTTGAGGCTGGTGTTGGTGGGTTGTGTTCATGAGCGGCGGGAGCGGGAAGGCAGAGTTGTGTTGCTGGTGCATTTGCTGCTGCTGTTGTAGGCTCGGTGATGGGCTCGGGGGAGGGAGGACGCTGTTGGATGCGTTGCTGCTGATGCTGCTGTGTCGTAGTGGCACTGGCTTCTTCTCGTTCAACGGGGTCGGCGGCGGGCCTGGGAGCTGGTACTTGGGTGCCTCGGCGCGTGGACCCTTTGTGAAGTTGGATGGCGAGGGATGGAGCGGTCGGAGGGTTCGGTCGTTCTGATATGGTTCTCGTCAGCTTTTCCCTTCTCGAGCACCATTGGGTTGGAAATAGGGGCTGGAACTTACGCCGTCGGCCATACTGCCCTCAAGACTAAAGGCAGCTGCTTTGGGATCACGCGAGAAGCGCTCCAGAGATTCGAGCCAGCGGGAGGCGAGAGGCCAAGTCTGCTTAGATTCGATGAGGATGGACATGCACCGCTGGAGCATGTTCGGAGCCTGCGCGACAATGTTCTTATCGGAGCAGACTAGGATGGTTAGCACGATGCGGTTACATCTCCACGGCTTCTGGGTACTCACTGTTCCGGTACTTGACCAGGTAGGTCGAGAAAAGGCCGCAGCTGTAGACGCAGAACGACGCCATCTGGGCTCCCACACCTTCCTCCGAGGATCTGACGCTGAATTGAGCATCGATTTGCTCGTACAACTCCCGCACGTTTCGGAAGAGGTCGTCGGACATGTTGGCGAAAAACGCCCGGCGTTGCATATCCTTCTCGTCTGGTTTGATGATGCTATTCAGGTCAGTATTTGCGGAGGAGGGGGAGGACGAAGAGTAGTTGGGCTTACTTCTCGAGATACGCACGCCTCAGCACAATGTTGCATAGTTTCGTTATCATAGTGACACCGAGGTAGGCCTGAACTTGTCAACTCCAACTCCAACCGCAGTGAATCTCGGCACATACCAGATCTTCGCCGACGGACTTGTGCCCTTTGAGAAGAACCATACTCCATCGGTGATCTTGCGGAAGCTGCTGTTCCCAGCTTAGGATCTGCTTTGCTGTAATGGCGTACTCGCTCGTCGGATCCCAGGGATTGGCGCTCTTCATCGTTGCCAACGCTCGACGAGCGACTTTCCCCCAATAATAATGTGCTTGCATCAGACTCGCGAACAATGATCGAGACGGTTGGTGGATCAATGAAGGGTTCTCGCGAGCTGGCGGCGTGTCCTCGAGCGCGGCACGGGACAAGGGCTCACGGCCGTAGGCAAAGTCCTCCTCGTTACTAGGGAGAAGAGCCGTGATGTCGTTGGCAGCTAGTGACACGGGGGAAAGAGCACCGCAATGGAGATTGTCCTGGCCTATGTGTTGTTAGCAAAAGCCACGTTCGTCTTCGTTCGTGATCACAGACTGTGTAACATCCACTATGATATATTTGTTAGCAGAGCTCTCCCCCCCTTTGAAGCATTGTCCAACTAACCAAAGTTCTCCGTGCAGATTCCGCCCTGATAATCATCTCCCTCGTGGGATTCTTCATCTTGTAGAACTCTTCGCGATGCAGATGCATCAAGACAGCCATCCTTGTGGCAATGCCAATGTTGATCTAGCAAGCGTTCAGCACTGCCCGTATTAATACTCCATGCAGGGAACTCACGTAGCTCTTGTTCCTCATACCGCCGCCTTGCTGCGCTAGACTTAACAGATAAAAGGCTTGACATCTCTCTAGGGTAGGCTCTTGGTACAGTTCGTTGAGCGCGAGGCTGCTAGCCCGTTCCATGAAGAAGTCGACGGCTTCCATCTCCCCATGGTATCTCTGGGCCAGGGCTGGGGAGAAGCGAGCAGAGACACTGAGGATACCGAGTACAAGGAAGACGCTGACGGAACGGTGATCTTGCTGCAGCTGCCGGGGAAAAAGCTCCTTCGGAATGAAACCTAGCTGAAAATACTTGCGGGTGAATCCGTGAACTGCGTCGATGATTTCGGGTAGTGGTGGGAGAAGCTCCCATTCGTCTGCAGGTTTACGAAGAGCTGGCGCGCCGGGACCCCGAGGGACCTGAGCATCTGACGCGCTACGTCTAGCCTTGTCGGCTTCTCGTTTCGCGGCCTTCTCAGCCCTCAAGCGAGGATGCCGGTATTCGCGGTCGAGATCCGGCTGGCCTCGTTGGGGAAAGATGCTGTCGTTGATTAGCTTCGAGATCGCGTCACGGACGTTGCTCGGTGTGGACGGTACCATTCACTCGCTGGTATGCCGGCTTCCGCGCAGGATTTACACGGCGGCTGTCCCTTCTCATGCACACATTTGCTCCTCATCCGACGGCATCTGGGACACAGTTTAGCTCGTCAAGTTCGCGATATGTCCGCCGCACTGGCGAGCAGGACGAACCTCCGACAGGCTATTGGAGACCTGCGCTTGATGGGCGGTTTTGACCCATTTTGCTGCTGGGTAGCAGGGTCGAAAGCGCCGATAGACTCGCTTCTTACGCTCACGTTGGAGCTCATGTTCAAGGTTGTCAGATTTGGCTTGGTTTCTTCATCAAAATCCATCGCTCATGGGGTCGACTGCGCCCAGCCTCGCGGGTCTGCCGGTTGAGTGCCAGCCTGGAATGTACGCAGGCAAACCGCAAACCATGAAGGCAGACAAAGAGTCAAGTAGGTAGACCGAAGCTGCGGGGATGTGGAACTAGTTGACGACCGGTGGGAACGAGAAACCTGGGGATTGGCCGCGAAGGATTTCGTGGAGAACGGAATCGGTCGATGAAGAAGCAGGCAGACCACACGTCCCGGGAGCCGGGACCGCTGGACGGGGCGTGGGGGCCAAGGGACGAATATAGGTAATGTAGGCAGAAAGACGGTGGGAAAAGGGAAATATGATATGATTAGGACGTCAGGAGGTCGCGTTGTTTGATAGCATTCCACGTCCAAAAGTTCGTAAAGGGACGCACAAGAGCGGGTATTTCCATCCAGGCGGTAGGTAATCCTCTTTTTTTTTCTTTTTTTTCGCAGGTCTAGATTCAAATGAAGGCCCAAACAGTTAGGCTCTGCCCTCGTTGGTCCCCCTGAAAGGTTCAAGCGTGGGATTAGAGTTTACCGGCTGCGAGCTCGAGGCGCGTCAGTGATCGGCACTGGTGTCTGCCGTGGCTTCGATGGCGTGAAGCGGACCCTAATCCCGAAGGGCGAAACGCTACGTTACTTTTTTGATGGAATCTCTTTTGTTTGATTAATCGATAGAGCGAATGGAGAGAGGGTCGAAGATGCAAACTTCCTGCTTCAGTCTTCGAAATCCTTGACGGGACCCACGCGTTAATAAGTTGGGATAGGCACACACAAGCTGAAAAAGGTCGGTTGATGGTTGGTGAACTTGTCGGTGCCGGTTCGCCCACGTGCGATATCGAGGGAGATGCCAAGCTCTTGGACGAGTTGGACCATGCGTCTCTCTCTTTGAAGCTGCACAGACCAAGGACTTGAGGGTTGGCACAGGGGATGACCCAGTGGGATTCGGACGTTGTTGAGTGTAACCCACGAGACACACACAGAATAACGGCAACTTTGACTTTCAGCCACCCCGGTAGACACCCCGGTGCGGGTTTGAGTTGAGGCAACTTAGCAAGAGTCTACACTACCGTGGCTGTCACGGCTGCGTAGTAGGGCAGCTTGAGGTTGGTCTTTCTGGGGAGCATCTGATGTCAATGGACGGTGCGGGAAGTGAGGCAACCATGGGACTGGCCGGTGGCCGTTCTTTTCTGGCGTCAGGACTAGAATAAGGCGTGACGGGTGTGAGGATAAATGAGAGAATGGCGTCTCGCCAGGCTTTGCGAGTCAGGCTTGGATGAGGCTTGATCAACGTCATGCGGAGAGGACCTCGGAAACTGAGAAAGGTAAAGGGACTGACGGCGGGGAACAGTCCAGTCTCATCCAGGCCTGCCGTTGTCAGGGGAGCAGAAAGAACCGCCGAACCGCCGAATGGATACATCTCTCAGGTTCTTTCTCTGAGTACATGGTCTGCGGCGCAAGGTAGCGTCGGATGGGGGCCAAAACCGGCATGTCCAGACACCGCGGATCGGGGCCGTATGGGATCGATCACCGTCACCTTCCTCTCTTTCATGTTTCCTTCATCGTCGGCAAGCTTTCCGCCGCTCTGTGCCCCTGGTTCAGTTCATCCACTCAGGGTATTCGTACATTACGGAGCACAGCATGAGTGTGGCACTCGTCAAAATGAAAGTGATGCAAACGTGAAGCTCCGGTATGTAGGTGCAAAGGACGGAGGCACCAGAATATCAGCGAGAATTCTTCTGGATGCGATTGGCGCCACGCTACGCGGCGCGGCGGCGACGGCGGCACGCGCTGGGGCCTGCTCGTACTTTGGATCGGCTACGATAGCCTCTTGGGAGGCTGGAGACTTGTGCTCAGTTGAGCCAGGCGTGGCAGGCCAGGCCGTCCTTTCCCCTGCAGGGACCCGTACCTGGTGCAGCTCAAACACAAAGTCTCTTTCGTTGTCGCCTAGACGGTACGGATGATGCCGAATCCTTCGTAATGTTACTGTTAGTTCGGTTTACAATAATAGGACCGGGCTGGCCATAGTGTTGAGTGGCGTGATGGGCACACTTTAAGCTCCTGTTCTTGTGCAAAGTTTCGTAAGTAAGCACCCGTCTTGCCACGATCCCTGGTGTTTCCATCTCCATCTTCATCTCCGCGGGTGACCGTTCCGGCGTTCACTTCGGCCTCCGAATAGACCGTGTCTGACAGTCTGGCTGGTTGGCGACTTTGACATCCCATCGTGCCGGGCACCGAAAGTGTTGTCTTGCTGGTCTCCATCAGACGGGCCGTTGAGTATCCATTGGGCGCCGACTTGGCGTCTTCAATGTTCCGGCCGCTCGGGATCCATCTGAACCAATTGCTATGCCGTGAGACACTGACACGGATGGGGAAGGACTCTGAGTGAAAGGGTCTTCTCAACTCTGTGCGTTCGCTCGAGCTCCCAGAGGTCTGTGAGATATGGTCACGACTGGTTCGCTCTCGGGTAGCCGTCGATCCTGACCCAGCGCTATGTGGGAGCTTGTATTGACGTGACCCGGAGAAGTGCCTTTTTTGGTACTTTGATGATCTTGCGTTTAATACCGACATTAAACATTTGCACTAAGGTAGCTTATGGCAAGGAGAAAAATTAACACGCGAGCGAAAAAATTGTGGAAGAGCCTAGATCATCCTGCGTGCCTGCGATATCCGATGCTCAACTCTTTGAGAAGGACCGATCAGAAGACCCAAGAGAGAAAGCGGCAACCCCGTACCCGACCCGATGTTACTGAGCAGCATTGCTGCTCGTGGAAGATGCAGCTGCAAGAAATCGGGCGGGCAAGCAAACACGCGGACAAGGCAGGCTCAATGAATAGCGCAGTTTCATCTAGGTACCTTATGATTTACCTCTATCATCTATCATCTACACTACGGCAGTTTCCTCATAGTGTGTCCCTCTCATCTCCTTTGGTCCTTCCCGGTGTTTGTCACGGCTGATTAATCCAAACTCGGAATGATTTGTTGCAGATTATCCGTAAGGTGCCTTCCCGAGGCTTTCCATTCCGTCGGCACCTCCCTCCCTTGTCGCTACCACATCTGGTATAAACTCAGCCACAAGTGCTGCAACCCAAGCCTTGGTCTGTGCACACAATGTGTGGCTGGTGATCTTTCTGACTCGACATCTTCCTCACCGACATCTCTCACCTTACTAAGGCAAGGTATCCGTACTCTGTACGGTTACATCTAGTCAACAACAATCTATTAACCTTCCATATCCCGGAAGTATGAGCTCGGATTCTGTTGTTGTCAATTTGTCTTTGCTCGTGCCCCGACTTATCTTTCGAGATGGAAGGAGCGGTGTCGACGGATACAGGAGGCTTGTTAGTACTCTAACTCCAGCACCCGATGCTTGATTTGTCGTACGCAAGCAGAGTGAGCAAGTATTCGTAAGGTAAGATTGCACAATTTATTATACATGGTTCCTTATTGACTTGGTTTCAGCATCTACCTTACCTGGTCTGTTCTGTCCACTCGTATCCGTACAGTACCTAGATCTCCAGACTCAATATCTCAACTCCGAGCAAATCGGGCCGCATCCCAATGTCATCATCTGCAGGAATCTCAGCCCAAACTCCAATCGGTTGACCGGCAATCTCGGCCACAAGAAACGACAGCTCATGACAGTTCATGACAACAAGATGCTGCATATCAAGCACTTCGGGCAGGTCAAACTTCATAAGACGACGCACCTACCCCAACCCTCGGTCCATGGTACCCCGAAGTCGGGGTTACCCCATGCCTAATATTCCCCCAAATTCAAGCAATGCAGCAGCTAGCACCATATGTCCTCGGGGATAGCTTGGCGATCTCGAAAAAAAACCTAGTTGCGCTCAGAGCTCAAAGTCCGGGCTACTCCTCAAATCCCAATCAGCCGCTCTCCCGAAAGGAGCGAGGCAAGACTAGGTTGATATCTGAATTTCCACCCATCAAAGCTCGCCGTTTGCTAGCAGCTAAGCTTACTTGGATTGCGGGGAACGGGGTAGTGCCCTGCTTGCGATATGCGCCCGCCCCAATCTTGACCGATTGACGTTGCCTCCCCCAGTCAAATCACCAATTCACCACTCACCACTCCGCATACTCAGGGCGAAAAAGAAGCAATACGAACCATGCGCTTCTCTTCCCCACGGAACCCACGAACCACGAGGGGTAAGAATGAGGAGAAGAGCGGCACCGGCGTGCCGGTTGCGCGGCTCAATGCTTGTTCGGGATAGGCTCGAGTAAGGGTCTTGAGTCGCCATTCAGGTCATTGGGCTTATTTAGTCTTCCCTCGGTGCCTGCTTGAGCGGTAGAAGAATACAAGAAAGAGCGAACCTTGCGGACTCCAGTCGTCGTTGCTCACACTCTTGACGTGACGTCGAAGTTTTGTCTGCCAAGATGAGAAGCAGTCTTTTCGCCGCCGCCCTTGGAGGGTTGATTTCGAACGCCTTCGCGGCCCCGACACAGACCGAACCTTTCCTTAGGCAGGTCGATAACCAGACGTGGATCATTGGCAATGATGTGTGGAACATGACCCAAGGTCTCAAGTACGGCGTGAAGTTGTACTACAAAGACCGCGACCTGGTCGGAAACGCCGTTGGCCACTACGTAAGCTACAGTACGTGAATACCCTCATCGAGAACCTTGAAACTTCCCAAACGTGGAACTGACGCTCATCTTTTTAGACGGCGCCGCAAACGACATCGCCTGGTCCTCCGCGACCGTCGCCAAAAAGGGCACCCACGAAGGAACCCCCTTCATCGACGTCAAGTTTACGGCAAATGACGGCGACTTCCACTGGGTCATCTTCCAAGGCCTCGCCGGCGCCTACCAGTACTTTGTCAATCGCAATTTGCCCACCCTGGGCGAGTTTCGCACCCTCTGGCGCCTCGACAACATTACTTTTCCCAACGGAAAGACGGACCTCCACGACAAGCCGCTACCGAAGCTGGCTGACTACCTACCTGAGAACAAGGTCCAAGACGAGACCTGGCGCACGCCTGATGGCACGGGGTACATCACAAAGTACGACTTCTCTGACTTCATCCGCACGCAAAAGTATTATGGCGTGTATGGCGATGAAGTTGGGAGCTGGTATATCAATGCCGGCAAGGATTACTACAATGGCAACCACTTGAAGCAGGAGCTCATGGTACGTTTTTGGTCTGTAACAGTGATCTCGGGACATCACGCTGACATCTCCTAGGTCCACCGTGAGAGTGCCACCGGCGATGCCGTCCAACTCAACATGGTCCACGGCACCCACTTCCAAGTCTCCGCCGTCGACGTCTTCCCCGTCGGCAAGATGTGGGGTCCCTGGCTCTGGTATCTCGTACGTGAAATCCCCCTATTTCTCTTCGATAACCTCCATCAAAACTAACCACCACCCACCTTCCCTAGAACGACGGTTCCAAATCCGACGCAGACTCCCGCGCCGCCTCCGAATTCGCCTCTTGGCCCTACCCCTGGCTCGACGACGCAGCCTACCAATCCCGCGGCACCGTCAGGGGCAAACTCCTCCTCTCCGACGGCCGCCCCGCCGCCGGCGCCGCCGTCTTCCTCGGCGACAACCACCCCAACAAGACGGCCCTCGACATGGGCTCGGACTACTACTACACAACGTACGCCGACGCCTCGGGCGCCTTTGAGATCCCCCACGTCCGCACCACCTCGGCAGGCTACGCCCTTCAAGCCTGGTCCGCCGGCGCCGCCCTCGCCGACGTGACGACGCACATCCTCTTCAACGACGTCCACGTCACCGAGTCAGGCCAGACGACGGACCTCGGAACGCTCAACTGGGCCGTCTCGAAGCGCACCAAGCTCTTCCAAGTCGGCGACTTTGATCGCACATCCCTCGGCTTCGCACACGGAGGAGACCCGTATTTCGGCCACGCCATCATCGCCTCGTGTCCCGAGAACATCGTCTTCCGCGCCGCTACCACCGGCAGCAACAGCACCTGCTCCGCAAGCAAGACTTCAGACTGGTGCTACGGCCAGACCTACAAGGGCAACTACACAATCTCTTTCCGCATCCCTACCCTACCCGACCCGGCCCCCGCGTCGGCGAATCTCATCGTCTCGTTGGCGGGCTACTCCACGGGCGCAAGCAGCGTCGTCCTCGCCAACGGACAGCAAGTGGGAAACCTCACCAGCGGCGCCGTGGGAGTCGACTCCACGTCGGGACTGCTCAACGACCCGTCCGTGTACCGAAGCGCCACGGCGGCGGGCGAGTGGCGCCTGTTTGAGTTCCCCGTCCCCGGTGCGCTGCTCAAGCAGGGGGAGAACGAGGTCACGTTCCAACTTACGCGGAATACGACGTGGAGAGGTTTCATTTGGGATAGCATTGTTCTGGAATGGTAAAGGCTGGCTCTCCCTTCATTGGTCCCGCGCGGGCAAAGGAAGAAGAAGAAAAAGTAGGCTTGTGGTTCTGTGTATATAGTTGAAATATCCGTACATTCGATCAAACAAAATCCAAGGGGAAATGTTCCCCGAGCAAAATTCGTTCACCAAGGCGTCGGTTTCGGAAAGACGAGTAGTCGAAACGTGAAGCAAAAAACAAGTCAAGGCATCTTTGCCGATTCAACGGCGTTCGTGTTCCAATCAAACATCTAACAGTAAAGTAGTCCATCATACAATTTACACACGAGGCAAAGCCTAAGCCTGCCTTTTCTCCTTTTACGCCTTGTCAAACACCGATAGCTTCCAACACCCCCGGACAAGTAGTGTACCTCGACAAATCCACTTTAGCAAACGCAAACTAGGCATCGGCTGCAGGTACAACGGCATCAGTCGAGCTCTCCTCCGCCTTTTTCTCTGGCTCCTCCGTGGATGCTGTCTCTGCAGCTGGCGTCTCCGTGGGCGCGGCAGCTTCCTCAGCCGGTGCCGGTTCCGAAACCGAGGGAGCAGCTACAGCAGGGACCGCCTCTGCCTCTGCAACTTCTGAGACCTCTGGGACCCGAGCATTCTCAGTGGCCGCCGCCGCCTCTGTTGGCTCTTGTGCGGGCTTCTCAGGCTCGATGGGCGGGACTTCGGGCAATGGCACCGGGTTGGCAATCTCAGGGAGCTCCGCTGGCTCCGGATGCGGGGCCGCAGGCGGTTCGGGAAGTGGGGACTTGCTAATCTCGGCTTGGCGATCAAGCTCCGTCTCCAAACCGGCAAGCAGATCCGGGCCGTCGTCTTCCGGCACCATTTGCACTTCGGCAGGCGCTGGCGGGATCGACTCAGGTTCGGCGGTCGGGATCTCGACGGCTGGAACTTCGATTGATGTCTCGATGGGTTTCTCTGCGGGAAGATCGGCCGGTACCTCCTCCATTGCGACGTCGGCAGAGACCTCGACAGGAATCTCAACCGGAATCTCCGCCAACGGGGCTACGGAAGGCTCGACTGGGGGCTCGAGGGGTGCTGGCGGCGGCAACGCAGCCGACTCCTCAACGGGAGCTTCAATGGGTACTTCGACTGGAATCTCTAGTGGGATATCGGCAGGCTCAACAATAGGAGGCTCCAAGGGAGCTGGGGGTTCCAACGCGGGAGCGGGTGATTTGACTGGTGACTCCGCTGCCGGAATTACTGGCGACTTCAATGGCGATTTAACGGGAGACTTTGCCGGTGACACGACAGCTTCTGTGGATTGTTCAGGGATTGGGGGCGCAAGTGGCATCTCCTCGACCACAGGTGCCACTGGCTCAACCTCAGCAATCGGAACGGAAGGTTCAGCAGCGCTAGTTGGCGGAACAATGGGGCTTTCTTCCTTCTTTTCAGAAATCTCCTCCACGACAAGAGGTGCTGGCTCCTCGACAGGAGGCGGCGGTGCCTCCGAGGCTGAGAGAGCTTCAGAAAGCCCTGGAATCTCAGGGGCCCTCGGAGCCTCGGGGACCGGAGAGGGCTGACGTTCCTCGGGAGCGTCTAGCATCATCGAGTCTTGTGCAGCTTCATTTGACGCCACGGTTTGGTCACCGCTTTCTAACCTGGTACCCGAAGCATCGGTCTCTGCAGTCGTCGCCAACGAAAAGGTTGATCTTGTCTCGGCCATGGGGGAGACGATGTCGCCCACCTTTTCGGCAGGCGGGAGTGCTGTCGATGCATCCTGGAGCTCTGTTGAGTTGTCGGCAAGAGGTAGCTGATCAGGCAGAAGCGAATCCACTGATTCAGTGGGAGGCTGCGGAGACGGCTCTTTCGGGGGCTCAGGTCCATCACCCATAGGCATGTCAGCCTGCACAGGCTCGCTCTTTGGCGCTGTCGGGGGCACCAATGCTTCTGAAATAGATGAAAACTGAGCTGGTGGCTCTGTGGGGGACGGCAAGACTACGTTCTTGAGAGGGCTGCCCTTGGGAGAGGAGTTTGCCAGGTGTATGTTGGGAGGCGCGAGGTTGACGGGATTTGCCAACGGCGCAGCGCGTTTTGGCACTGGTGATTCGGGGTCGGTGAATTCTGCCGTTGTGTCAACACTCGGCGTGGGCACAGATGGAGATGCGTCGGTCATTTCCTGGTCCTGGCTATCCGTGTTCTCACCATCGCGCTGCTCCTCGTCGCCGTCATCGCCATCATCACCATCATCGTCGTCGCCGTCGTCGTCGTCATTGTCAGCCATCTCGCTATCGGGGTTGTTCGAGTCCTCCCGCTCTTGCTTGACAGCCTAGAAACCGATCAGTCACATGCTCTCAGTACAGGGAGTGCGGTAAACTTACAGGGTCCGTCCCATCCGCTCCCTCAACTTTGGGAGCTGCAGGAGCACCTTCTACTGGAGGCGCAGCAGCCGGTGCGCCAGGCACCGCCGGCGCAGGCAAAGGCAAGATCTTCTTCTTGCGACCGCGTCCCGGACCAGGCTTGTTCTTCTTCTTAGGTGGCGGTGGTCGCCGGACGCGCTGCGGCGCTTGCTGCGCAGGATCGACGGCCGCGACGGCCACGACCGTCGTCGAGATGATCTCGCCCTCGACTGCCTGGCCCTCCTGCAGCGTAATCTCCTGCGTATACGGGTTTCCTGCGGCATCGACTCGTCGCACAGTAGCCTTGGTCACCGTCGCGCCGGGAACCTGGCTCGAGACCGTCTTGGACGAGATCGTGACGGTGCCCTTCCTGCGCTTGGCCAGGTGCGAGACGGGAGAACCCTCCGAGTTGCGGTTGATCTGCTTCCACACCTTGATCTGGAAGCCCTTGGTCTCCGCCTCGTCCTCCTTCTTCTCCGGCTTGTCGGGCACGGCGTCGGTCTCGGCCTCTTCCTCCTCGGTCGGCGCGGGCCTCTTGTAGAGGACACCCGATCGCGCGGCGCGGAGGAGGTCTTGGCTGTGCTGGGGCAGGAGACCCGCGTCCTTGGGCATGCCCCAGGGGAGCTCGACGTCCCAGATGTCGTTCTTCTGCGTCGTCTCGGCGGGCGCGGGGGGCTCGACGCTCACCCATTCCTGGCGCCATTGGCGCACGGGGAGACCTTCAAAGTCATCGTGTTCGGTGTATCCGCTACGATTCGCGCGTCGAGTCTATCGAGAGTCACTGTGTTAGACTTACTTGCCACTGGTTGCAAGGCAATCTCGACTTGAGCCCAAATATCCACTTGACAGAACTTACTCCTGGCGCCATTGTGAAAACAGGGTTTCGAAGCGGCGGACGCGGTCACAGTATCCAAGAGGGGTTCGAAGCTGGTCCAATTCCAAATGATGCAGGGTCGCGCGCGCAGCGACGGAGCTCTGGTTGATTCGTGACGATGGTCCACAAATTCTGGACTCGAATGACAATGACTTCGTGGGCGCAGGCTAACGGCTATGACAAGAAAGCAATGTGCACCTCAAGTTGCAAATAATTGATGCGAATTGATGCGACGCGCGCGGACGCTATGTGGTTTCGCTGATGATTGAGCTACCGTCGCTGTAGACTGCCGTGGATTGGCTCCACCCAGAGACGCAGCCTCGTCGCGAACTCTAAAGACGGCAAGCGCGAGGACAGTTTTGCTTAGTCAGCTTACCGAGTTCACCGAGAGTTGATTGCTGAGACCTCGGTGTGGAATTCAACAAGGACCTGTACCGTGAGTAATCAGGAGGACATCAACAATGCTTTTCTCCAGCTTGGTTGTTCGATATATGTGCCTCACAGTTCCAAGCTTCTTTGAGTGAGATTTTTGCATAGTGAGTGGGATATGATCCCTCAGTTCCTATCAACGCGTACTCCCGCAGCCACTTGCAAAACTAGGGAGACCATCGACCTCGATAGTACTCGCATACGAGTCGAACGGAAGGCTTACTTGGCAGACAAGAATGACACACTCCTGACAAAGTTACAGCCAGGATTCGAACGCAACGGACAAAAACCATGCTATCCCGCCGTCCACAGTCCCGAGAACGACAGGCCTCAGTCATAGAAACGCCATTGCCATATCTATATGCTCCCAAAAATAAAAGCCCTGGTTGGAGATTATAAAAAAAGAAGTCAACACTCCAGAGAGGAGTGCATTTCATTTGGGGGAGTAATTGCCGCCGCGCCGGTCCCTACCCCTTTCTTTCATAAAGTTGAGAGAATCTCTTGACTCCTCCTCGCCCCCTTTTGATGGTCATACACCCCGATCTTTCCGCCGTTTTTTTTTCTTGTCTTCCGGCCCCCCCGTTTGAGTATATTGTACAGGAAAAGATCCCGAGTCATTGTTCCGTTGAGCTCGCGACGTTATTAAGTTGGACTTTCGCTCCACAATCCGAGGAGTTGCGCTGTTTAGTCGAAACTGTAGAGCCATCAAAAGTCAGTTTCTAATTACCCAAGCTATTGTCCCTTAGAAAGTAGATCTAGAGGAGAAACTCACCCATGCTCCGTTTGTCTGACAATATCGCCCTTGTTGCCCTTTTGCTTGCCAGCGGCGCCGCCCTCGACTACTAACCGATCAAACTTGTAAAACTGGTTGACAACGGCTTGCCTCTGTTTCCAAAAGTGTTAGCTCGTTCTCTATTACCTCCGGGCAATCCCGTCCCTCGTCCTCCCCATCCCTAGTCGTCACCCCAAAAACGCCCCTTCGACGAGAACGGGAAGGTGGAGTTTCGTGAGGAGACACAGAGCCCACTAACCTTGAGCTTCTCAAGCTCCTTAATCCCCTTTTGAATCAACTCCTGCACCTGCCGCGGGTCCTCGACCTTCTGGTGCTCTCTGAAAGCATCCCTCGTCCGTCGCTTCGCGTACTCGCGGAAGTTGTAGGTCGCAAACTGTTCGCCCGTCTTCAACAGCTGGCGGTACTACAGTTGTCGCAAAGAATACTGTTAGCAAAAGCTCTTCTTCAGGCGTTTTCGACGCAACGTCTTGGCATCTGGATCTTTCGAAGTCAAATGGATAACAGAGTCACAAGCATGTATGCAGTCGGGAGGAATCCTGGGAGAGTTGCCCCGTCGTTTTCTACATACCAAAGACCGAGCCTGCTGCGGCGCATCGCCCTTGAGAGCTTGTATCGCCGTCGCCATCGTGAATGCGCTTTTCGTGTACTTAAATGCGGTGCCCCGTGCGGGAGGAAAAAAAGACCTATCGGTGGCTTTAAGAGGACTTCGTGGGAAGTTCTGCTGGGGTGTGTCGTCGTGAGGTGCGGTTGCGAGAGAAAGAAAAAAAAAAATAATAGCTCTCGGGCAGTGAAGGAGGCGCAAATGGGAATTATTTCTCGAGGTTTCGGGGCGGGAAACGGACCTATGATGCAAACGCGGTTTCTCTCCTCCCGCTCGGCGTTTAGCCTTAGCGGCCCTTTCGGGGCGCGGCATTTTACTAATCCGCTGTCTAAGCCGCTCCCAATGTGCCGGGTGGCCGATCTCGCCTTGTACCTCTAGTTTTCATCAAGCACCAAAGTGAACGTGGCCGAAACAATGAGCAATCGATTCATCACCATTTGGTTTAGTGAGATTTCTACCAACGCAATTGGGATCAGTCTGGAGGTTGATTTACAGCATGAATTTCAATTCTAGCTATGCATAGTTTATCCCATTTTGCACCACGACAGGCCATTTCAGAACCTCCTCCATCACAGACATCACAAACTACACATTTGCGATGTGTTTGTAAAGTACCTCTATTAATGCTTATAATCTACAATGCCTTGCCCCCTCGTTCCTGGTATCCTGACCCTGCAGCTGACCAGTTCTACACTGCGCGGCCACAAAAAGGGGGGTTGGGCAAGAAAAAATGTCCCGCGTCTTTGATATATGCCTCTTGAGGAGCACTATATATATGACATTGTGTGTGTGGTAAGTATGTTCCTTGCGCCGCCAGACGCCACTACTATGGCGCGGCCATTATTTTGAAATTAGGGTAGGCTCATGAATAGCTTCTCCATCTCAGGGTAATTAGGTGTTCTAGTTGCGTCTGTTAGTTGATGGCTTGTAAAATCTTGACCAGGGCGAAGAAGGTACTTACCCCATGCCGGTGACGGGATCCCATCCTGCCACGGCGGAAAAGCCCTTAGTACCGCAGCCTGGATTGTCGCCGTTGGTCACGTCGTTGAGAATCTCAGGGTGAGCGTAGAGCGTGGGATTGATAAAGCCGACAGGCTTCTTGCCCGCCTCAATACGCTTCTCGTTGATCATGTTGACAATTGACCCAACAACAGGTGCCGACGCTGCGAGTAAGTTAGTTCTTGCCGAACAGATACTGGAATTTGGAAGTCGAATGTCTCACCTGATGTGCCGAAAGAGAGCGAGAACTTGCCGTTGACGGCAGTGACATAGTTGGCGCCATTGGCAGAAATGTCCGGGAAACCTCGCACCGTTTTGGAGTTGTTGTACCGATCTGCACCATACGGCGGCGCGTTCTTTGCGTAGTACTGCTCCATCATCTTCTTTTGGTAGTCGGGAATTGCGAAGACGTTGGAGAAACCTCCACCAGAGAAGATGGCCTTTTGGCAGGCGCTCTCAGGGGTATGGACCGTCGATCCCTCCAAAATTTGAGTAGCACCAACGGAGGTAACCCAAGGGCAGCCGCCGGGGAACGAAGGATTGAAGATACCCTGCTGGCCCTCGTTGTATGCACCAGTCTGAGTGTCGATGCACTGCTTGCCGTTACCGGCAACACCAGAGTCACCAGAAGAGTAGAGTACTGTGACGCCCGCCAGGCCGAGCTTCATGTACTCGGCACACTGGCGCTCGACGTACTTCTTGCCGAGATCCGCCTCGTTGAAACCGTAACTTGTGGAGATGACGTTGACCATGGGGACGGAGCCGCAGACCTTTTGGCTGTATTGCCCGTCAATGTTGGGATCCTTGGAACCGCCACCTTGGAAAGTGCAGTAGCTGCCATCAATCGCATCGAGAAAGTTGTTGAAGCTGGCACCCTGGTTGAGGTCACCGACCTGGTACAGAGTTGTCGTTTGAGGGTGGATCATGGCCATGGCAAACTCAAGATCGAGCGCAGACTCGCCATTGAAGCGGAAGCTCTGGTTTGTGGTCTGTACTACGGCGTTCCCGACGAGGCTGACAATGGGGCCCTGTCCCTTCGCACGAGGCTCAAATTCGTTGAAGTACATATCCAGATCCGACTGAAGGAATGCTTGGGGCGTGTACTCGACGATGCCGAGGGTGTTGTTGGACGACTTGAGCGACCCGGGAGGGGTTGCGTAGAGCGCCCGCAGGCAGTCCGGAGTGATCATGGAGTCGCACTGGTTGAGATCCATGAGGGCGTTCATGACAACCGCGCCCTGCTTGGGTCCGAAGCCGCTGTCTGGGCTGCCCTGAATGGCCGGGTTCTTGCCGCCAGTAGCAACGTCTCGCTTGGCGAGCTCGCGCTTCCTGAGTTGCCGCTTCTTGAGCTCTTCGATGTGGTGCTCCTCCAGATCATGCTTGGTGTTCTTCCTTTGCTCTCCAATGCGCTGGTCAAAGTGAACCGTCGGCGTGATCATGTCGATATGCTGAACCAAATGCTCCGGAACGTGGTACTTGTCGCAAGCCACGTGCTTGTGACCTTGTTCGTGCTTGTACATGTGGTACTCGGTCTTCAAGAGCCGCTCCATCTCGCCTACTGTCCCGTTGAATTGGATCCAGCTGCGACCTCTTGTGAGCTCGACACGACTCCGGTGGATGCCCTCGCTCTCAAGCCATTGCATGACCAGAGCAATGGACTCCTGCTTCGGTGCAAACATTTCGGCGATTTCATCATGGGTCCAATGTTTGCCGTAGTTGGGCGAGTCGGGGTGAGCCACATCGTTCATGAACTCGTTTGCGCGGTGAAGGTTTGACTGTGCAAGACCAATCCGTACTGGCAGCCTGGCCATAGTGTGTAGTTTGTGATTCTTGGCCCATTCTCTTCGCGCGGGATGCCTCTCCTCGTGCACGACGTGGCTGTGCGACCGTGTCACCGGGTTTGCAATGGTCACCGCCGCAAGGGCGGTGAAGAGGGTGGCTACAGCGCTCAACTTCATCGTGTATCTTGGGGTCGTTTTCGTCGTCAAACGGCTTCCTCTCTACTCTCTCACTTCACACAACGAATCGAACCTAAGTCAGAAGAACCGAGCGACAAGGCTGGCTATTTGTTGATATTTTAGTAGCTGTCGTCCAGTCATGACGAACCCCACTGACGCAAGGTAGCAGCTCTAGACCTGACGAATGCGAAACCGGTTTCAATAGGATCCTGTGGGCTGTTTGTCTGGTGGTGACAACCCAAAACGAACACTTGGGTGAACGGCAGCCTGAGCGCATGGGATCCTGTGGCAAAGACGGGAACACCTCTGACAAGTGCAGTTTCTTACCCCCCCGGACCCCGGTTCGAGGAATCTCTTCGCGGCTCGCCAGGCTGGCCTCATATCGGGAAGTTGTATGAAAGATTGATCAACAACAAGCCGATAGCCGAAGGTTAAGCTTTGAGGCGCGAGGTACCCCAAACAATCGTCTCATATAGGTCCGGACCACCCCATCAGGACGGGTTCTAGTCGTTTGCTAAACAAAGATGATTCGTGGCCGATTCGTGCTGGTCATGCGAGACGAATCATCAAGCTTTCACGGATTCTTCTGCTCAAGATGGATTTGGTTCCGATGCAATTCCTCAAATGACTCGAGAGGCGAAGACAAGGAGAATTGGAAGGAGGAAAACAAAAGTTTGGATAAGGTCAATTGAAGGCTCGAGCCGCCGTCTGGTTTTGGGTGAAGGAAAGATGAAACGCTCTCAGGTATGAGATGATTTGGCTTCGTGATACGGCTGCATAGCCAGCTTGTGTAGCGCCCGTTGCTCGTTAATAATATCCCACAACTCTTCAGTCTCTTGCTGAGCCTCTTCATCCGTGGCACATTGTTGTGCATGAGACTCCTGGAACGAAAGAATGGCGGCCTCGAGCGCATCATCAGGCAAGCCAAAGCCATTGAGCATCTTGCCGAATCTCGTCTCTTGTTCGAGACTTGTGTTTAGTTGAGATGTAAAGGTGAATTGCCGCTCGGTCTGAGTGGGCTTGACAACTGCAACAGCTTTTGTGGGTCGAGGTGTTTTCAGCAATGGCGGAAACACCAAGTTCGTCACAGAGGCATTGAGGTCTGTCAACTCTGTGGGGTGACCGTTTTCGGCCAGCTGCCATTGCAAGATTTTGCCTTTTGCATGACCGGATAAGATTGTTGTGCCATCATGGTTTGGTGCCAAGCACAAAGCCGAACCAGCATCTTCATCAGCAACTCCAATCGGTGAATTGACTTGAACGACAGTCGACGATGATTCAGTGCTATTCGGACCAATGAGCGGCTTCTCACCGAAGAGCTCTACGAGGTAGAGAGCCCTGTCCTCAGATGAAACGAAGACGGCACGACCGCAGGGATCCATGGAAACGCACAGCGGAGCCGTGGAGAACAATAGTGTACGTAGAACATCGCCCGTTTGATAATTCCAGATGATGCAAGTCTTGTCTTTGCTGGACGAGACGCAAATGTTGGTTTCCGGGTTGACACTGCCACTGACAGCGAGCGATGTGATGGCAGCCCTGTGGTTGGCGAGCGTACGGTCCGGCTCGCTCTCCACAGAAGCATCTAGCTCTAGCAGACGGGAGATTGTCCAAACATGAATGTTGGAATCTTCGGAGCCTGTAAGGATGTGATAGGGCGTGACGGCCAGACACGAAACGGCTTGGACGTGGCAAGGTGGTGTGACCAGCTGGCGACCAGTGCATGTCTGTTGTTTCGTTAGCCACAACAAGACGTTTGGAATTGCATCCGGGAATAGGAAATGTTTACCTCCCACAGGATCAACCTGCCCTCGGAGGTGCCTAACGCCAAGACATCGTCAATCAACGCCAAGCTCCGAATGCGTTCTGGAAAGGTAACGACTGTTTCTTGGATGCCCCGCGATCTTGAGTAGACGTGAACCTGGGACTTTTCGTGCTGGGCGGCAAAGACATGCGAGTCACTGATAGCTAAGCAGTGGGCCGGGGTAGCACTTCTCTTGAGAGTTGACTTGACGGTGTAGCTGGGGCTAAGAGTATGGGCGTAGATGCCGATATCTTTGGATACGGCCGTGTTTGCCGCGATAGGCGGGCCGCAGATACAGGAGTAGAGTTCTTCCGATAACATGGTGGAGGGGTGAGTGACAGAGAGGCGGTATAGGGAAGAGGTGGTAAAGGCCGAATAGGCCGCGGGCTCGTCGGAATCCGAGACTGTAGAGATTATCCGAGAGCGGCTGTGACTCCGGATGCTCGGCTGAGAGAACGCAAGGGGTGAAAGAGACCAGGCGAATCGACGGCAGGGTTCGAAAATGGAAGCCGACGATGCCTAGAGCCACGAGGTGAACAAGACTTTGTCCTCGTGCTCGGGAAGTGAATCAGTGCCACGAGGTTGCGAGATGGGCGTGGCGTCGATCCGTCGAGGCGAAGTAGGGTATCGAGTCTTGGAAAGCACGTTGAAGGGCTTGATACTAGACTCAGATCTCTCCAGGTTTTCAAAGTGCGAACGCGAGAGGCAGAGCAAGAGCCAGGGCGGGAGCGAAAGTACAGGACCAATGCCTGGCGTTAGTACCAAGCAACGTTTCCTTCTTCGAGTCGTCTATGACACACTGGTGTGCTTGTGGCGTTGAGACTGGAAAAGCCAAATATCAGACTTAAGAAAGTTGATAATGAGAAGTTGAGCTTGAGATGTGATGAGGCTGAAGACCCGGCTGCACGTCGCATTGAGAAGAACGATGAAAAAATTCGAATCCACTTTTCCCGAGGTGCGTTATCGATAGCAATCGAGAAACGGCCCCACCACGGAAGCGGCCCCCTGGGTTCAGGTCGCCAAGGGCCTATTGGCAGTCATGCAGTGCAGTTGATAGTGCGAATAGAGCAGCTAGAAGATACGCTAACAACCGATGGCCACTAGACGTTGTCTCGCGCAGGCGCCACGGAGGGGGTTGACCTGTAGCTTGCCTATAATTCAGCCACTAACTCACCCTTACAGCAGAGAAGGAGCTCTCAGAACGCCAACTGCTCTCCCTAGAGACACTAACAACGGTCTCCACGCGGTCTGGCTTATGGGAGGGAAGGAGCGCACAGGGCAGCAGCTTCAACTTGGCAGGTGCAGCTAAGCTGGAGCTCCCTTACTTCCTGCACGCCGTGAATTTGCAACATCATCGCCAACCATCAAACGACACCACTTCAACTTCATCTGTCCATGCCATGTTTTTTTCACAAGACATGTCTCTCCTTTCGCCCCTCTACTGCGTAGCAGACGCCACGAAGCCTGTCTCAGACTCCACACTCTGTTGTCTTGATTCGCCAATCTCTTCCAGTTCCACCCTTCAACCTTGGTTTCTAGCGGGGAATCTACTACCTATAGACAATCCTTCGCTTTCACAAGCCACCAACGAAGCAAGACTCTGAAGTTTGAGCTTCCTGTTGTCTTACATGCTTGATACCGCCTCAACCGCCTCCTGTTCGTATCACTCACCGCCATGCGCCAGTCCTTTCTTTTTCATCAAAAGATCGCCGGCTATCTAGTCAGCTCTGTGCTTTGGGTCTCGGGCATCCGTCTGACGTGACGCCCCGGCTGCATCTGACATCTGCATCCATGATACAATCACAATTCATCTGCATCTCGCCAACAGGAGGCCTGCAGGTTACTGCCGCTTGATTCTTGACAGTTGGGGATCGAAGCATCCCGCAATCTGCTACGGATACCCAAGCTTTCAGCCGTTGCCTTGCACGTACGAATACCTGTGCTCGGTCCTGATTCACTGATTCAATATGCCGGTAATCTGCAGAGTACCTCACATGCCTCGCTTGATAGGGCAACGACATCAGCAATGGCGCCCCTTCTGGAATTTGAGACGAGACGAGGGCAAGGGAGCCTGCGGACCCATTGCGTCCCTCACGATCCTCTTGTTTGGTAGATGACGATTGTCCAAAGCAGGTCATCAACCCGTCACAAGATTGCCAGCCGCCCTCCGACTCTTCGACTGCTCCATCCAGAAACGCGTACGTAGTCGCGATCTCTCAAGTTGGTTGGCTCTGGGCTGTCAATTTCAAATTTGTCCAGGGACAGCTTGCTGGGCTTACATGCCCTGGTCCATGCAGACTCTGACCCTTGCTCACTGCCCTGAACAGCCGGGGGAGGGTACGAATCGACGTTGCATTTTAATCCAATGATGACCTGCTGGGGCCCTGTCTTCTCAACAGCCGGAGGAGCAGCAAACATAGGATGCGTCGACACATTGCAACATTGTGCAGAGTGCGCGACGCATGCGACCTGCGAAGACGGCAGATGGCATGCGATGCAACCTTTCAATTTCACATCATCAATGACGAGGAAACAAGACATACGTACTTCGTACAGATTGTCAGTCTGTCAGACTGGACGACGGCAGAAGGCGTTCTGCTGATAATCCTTGGAAACAATGAATTGAGCAAAGGTCGACACTACGATGTTCATTTACCCCAACTCTCAGACATCCGAGCGCGCGGCGAGGGAACCAGATCGCCGGTCTACCTGGTTTATACAGCACGATGCCAGGGACTTGACCCTCTCGCTATCCTATCACGGTTGAACTCTCTGCTGGTCTGCTGCGCCGTCCCTCAATCTCCTGTTGATCTCGCCAGGGCCAGTCAATCCGGAAGGGGACAACAAAAAAGGGAGGGCCGAGAGACGACCCTCGCACAAATCGATCCAAGTTGCCACACACACACAACGTACTGTACGGAGTACGGATACACAACCCACATATCGAGCCTGCATACAAAAACATGAGCACGCCAAAGACACACACATGGGACAAACTCAGGCAGGCAGTGCCGAGACAGAAAGCTGCCATCTGCCGCAGAAATCACTTACTGAGACTTGGTGGTCACCGATACTGTCATTAGAGGAAATGACAATAGCAGGAGAAACAGAACTGCAAGCCTTTCAGGCAGATGTCAGGACCCTCTGTGCTACAGTTTGCATTGCAAGCTGCTGTATTTGCAACGATCGTGTGCGTGCCGCCGCACAAGGCCTGCCAACACATGCGGATATGGAGTACTGCGTACGGATACAAGATGCAGGCTGCAGACGCAGCAACACAGACGCCTCGGCCGCCCTGGGCCGATGGCACTAACATGGAATACGCGATGGGGCTTCGTTGAGGCCTGCCAGGGGTCTGATCCGCCGCGTTGGTCGTTGGTCGCGGGTTGTTGGACGGTTTTTTGGAGTCCAGTCTGTTCTTTTGGGGACCCTTCGCTTCGATCCCTCGGAACTCGATTTTGTGATCGATTCTTCTGTGTCATGCTTCACCAACATTTGATTGCGGAAACCCCAGTGCAACGTGGTGGATATTATTCGCGGAGGTGACAACTCGTTCGAGGAGAAAACTCTTTCAACCTCCATCTCGCAGCCGTTTAAGCCTCCATCGTACAGGTCACGGTGGACACGGCCATGTGTCATGAACACGCACTCGGGTCGGGACAATTAATGACAGTTCACAGGCGAAGAGCATGCTTCAGACAGAATCAGACGCCAGCCCACCTTCCAAGCTTCGACGCCAAATAAGACCAATATTGCTTCTGCAACCGTGTGGCAGCGAACTGCCGTATGCAGCGCAGATATGCACAGAGAGCCCACTACCAGCGTAGCATTATTGAAGGCGCAAGAGGTCCTCGCCCACATCCACCTACGTTGCTTTTTCTTCTTTTTCTTCCACTGTTCGACAGACTACAGTCCGACGATACGGGTACGGAGCATATCTAGGCTACGGATACCGGTTACTCTATGTATACATACTTCGTCCGGACACCCAAGCTGTAATTGTTCTTTCGGTGGACCGAAAATCGGGGACGCGATGCTTGCCGTTTGTTACTCGCTTCGCAATAGGCAACGCTAAGAGGCATGCTGCCCCTGACCCGGCCATTCTAGGCGTCTCCATCCCGTGAGCTCCGGAGTCCCGCTGGACTGGTTCCCTCACTGGTTCGCAAATCGCAATGGCCTTGCGGCAAGAGTAAAGTATCATGCGGTATCCGGAACGCAAAGTGGACGGCACGGGTGGTACCTATGCTGTGGTTCGCGCAGACTCTGCACGCCCCGGAAGTGAAAAGAAAAGAACACCAAAGCCAAGGGACGGCCTTGGCTGCCACTCTGTACAAACTACACATGCACAGTAGGGGTGCGGACGACGCAAGGGCGAAAAGCACCATGCCTGGCGAATTTTTGTCTCACTCTCACGACTAACAATGGCCGTCAGCATTCTGGTCGTCCTACGGACCTACGGTCTACAGAATACTTATAGTCTCCCTCCGTGTCGGTTGTCTGAGATGGTGCAGCAAGCCCGACAACGTGTATCGCACTTACATTGATTAATTATTGTTGCTGTGGCCCTCGAGGTGTCACGGCATACGCAGCTTTCCCCTCCGGCAATCTCTGGGAAGCAATCTTTCTCATTCTCGATCCCTTGCCGTCACCCTCGAGGTATTCGGAGACGGAGCTCTCTCCCGCCACACCCCCCTTCTCATCTCATCTCATCTCCCTCGTCACGTCGTGGGCCCTTTCTCAGTCTTCCACTACGGATACTCTCCAACGGTCACAGAGTGCCTGCCCTCTTTGGGAATCCCGGATCCGACCATACAATCGTCCTTTCGGCTTTTGTATATGGAGTAGTGAGATATACTACATCGTACCGTACGGATACCCCCCCCCTTGATTCCCTTCTCGTAGAAGCAGGATAGAAGCAGTGGAAATCGAACAACAAGGTCCTCCCTCGGATCCCTACTAGCGACATTCCCTTCTTCTGCCCTACTGCTCCGTCGTCTCTGCCCATTGCCCACAGACGTGAGCAGTCGGGTGTCCATCGTCGCTGGAGCATTGTGGTACACAGACACGGCTACACGCCCGTCGCCCGTGGCCCATTCCCATCCTCTTCCCTGTCGTCAGCCCTGGCAGCTTAAAGGCTGAGCAGCTCCCAAGCGGCCAGCATCCTCGTGAGCAACGACCACCCCTGGCTCTTGGAGGTTCTCCCCTTTTCTCTCAGAGACTCGCCCAATGGCATGAGCATCAACCCATGTGGCATGCACCCCATGTTCGCGTTAGACGTTCCAGCTCCCTTCCCTGCCCCACACGCGACCGAGGCCCTCCCTGCAAGGAACATCTCTCCAACAACCTTTAAAACATCCCGTCCGCCGGTCCTGGGGCGAAGACGCTCCGTCCGGAGCATGAAAAACCTCTTGCCACTGACCCTGCCCTCCAGCTCCAGCAACAGCTCCAACGCCAGCTCCTCCAACTGCAGTTCAAGTTCCAGATCTAGCTCTAGCTCTAGCTCCATCTTCAGCCCGCAGCCGATCATCTGTCGTCCTGTCTCGTCGCCGCTGCTAACCCAGTTTCAACCACACCACCATCACCACAGTCATCACACGCGTTCGCAGCCGCATACCGACCTCTCCTACGGATACCAACCCGAGAGTTTATGCATCCGAGCCGGCGTCATGGCCGAAGCCGCGGAACCTACCATGGACTGCAACCTGCCGGAGCTGCTGGCCCAGGACCTTGAGTTCTCTGCCCTCATCTTCGCCGCCAAGAACATGACTGCCGGCGCGCCCTCGCCTGCTCTCGCCTCGGACGAAGACGACTGGCACGACACTGCTGAACCTCCTTCCGTCCTCGGCGCACCATGTCATCCCAACGGAGTGGCTCAATTCCAGCCTCTAGGTGCTATCGACGAGAAAAGCTCGGCCAGCGATGCGAGCCACCATGACATTTCAGACGCCGCTTCAAGCTCGAGCGGTGACTCCTTTAGCATGGCCGGGGGTGACCTCGACGGCGAAGACGACGCCGCCGAATCACCGCACATTCGCCAACATTCTGTTCTCACTGCAGACACCACCATTTCCGCCTCAAGCCAACCCGTGATCGCGTCATCTTCGTCGCAAAAACGAGTCGTCTCCTTTGGAGGTGAAGCAGACGGAAGCTTGGAGAGCTGGATGGACTTTGAGCCAGACGCGCCGGCGGATCATCCCGAGCTCGGCAAGAGCCTAGTCCAATCGCCCGTCTTGACACCCATCAAGCCGGTGCGGCCGCTATCCCGACTAGGCGACCGGTCCATCAACGAATCACCGCCCCGGGCCAAGAGCGCCAATGCCGCAGCCACTACGCGCCGGCTGTCCAACCCGTTTGAGGGTTACACCCGGCCCACCAGCCGGGCCCGGAGTCTGCATCTAGACCCTACTGCGGCGGCCGTTGCTGCTGCCGCCAAGGAGCAGAACCGCCATTCAATGCACTCGATTCACTCACTTCACTCCGTCGACATCGCCGTGCCCACGCGTTGCTCATCGCTAAAGCACCGCGTCTCATTCACCGATGACGCCCGTAAGGCTATCTCTACTCGGTCTCGTTCGCGTTCGCATGCGTCTTCGCGGCATAGGCAACCCGATCACATCGTCGCGCCGGGGACGGATCGTAGCTCTATTATCTCCGACCTCAAGGAGGAACTGGAGCCATGGTTCCGCTACCTCGATGCGCATGACACGCCGACTTCAACTCCCCGCCAGGGCCTGGCTCCTCCTCTACTTGTGACACCGCGCCCGACCTCCCGCTCCGGCGCCGCTGGCCCTTCAAGAGCATACACCACACCGACTCCTCGTCCCCGATCTCAGGCTCAAACAAGGTCTCGGCCTACATCGTCTCTTAGCACATCATACACTTGGCTCGAGGACCCGATCGACATTCCGCCTCCTCCCTCGGACGACCAAAGCCGCCGTATTCCTCTTCCTCCCAATGTGATGGAATCTCTCCGCGTCTCCGTGACATGCTTCCCCGAGACAACGCTTCTCTGCTCCAGCCTCTCCATCGAGACGATCCGTAGCTATTCCCGCAAGGTCAGACAACCAGCCGCTCCGGAGGCTCTTCGCCCAGACACACCGCCCGCGTCTCCGAAACGCTGGCGCTGGCTCAGCTCCCGCCGCACTACCAATCTCAACCGTCGCTGCTGCTCCCGCGGCGCATCCTCCTCCAACCTCGATCTCCCCTCCTCTGCCTCCCTATCGCCGTCAACAGCTACCCTCGTTGCTCCACCCCAGTGGTCCCGTATTCGCAGCGTCTTCCCCCAGGGGTCAGATTGGCTCTGCGACGCCCTCTACGCCCACATCGTCGCGTACAACTACCTCGCGCCCATGGTTCAGAACAGTACGACACAGTCGCAGCCGAGACCTCCCACACCTGCTAGCCCCAGCAGCAGCAGCGTCATCACGGATGACTCCATCCCCAAGAAGGCCGCCACATTACTCGGCCTTCAGGGCATGCAAGGGATGCAGGACATGACGACATCGCCACCGCCGCCAAAGTCGTTGCGGAAGCGATCCAGCATGTTTCTCGGCCTCCGGACCTGTTCAGCATCACGACAGAGTCAGATTCCAACGCCGGCTCCTCCTGCTGTGCCAACAATGACGCCGGCAGCACACTCGGCTGCGGTCTCCGATGTCCCCCTTCGGGAGCTGCAGCAGGGGTTGTCGCGGTGTATCGCGCACCTCGTGACGACGTTGCGTGCCGGGGGGTCCGGCAGGTCTATGGCCGGAGGCGACCTGATCAACGAGGTTGATCCGCTCGTCATGCGATCTCTGTGCGAGATTGTCAAGTGCTGCGAGGAATCGCCGAGCACGACAAATGATCGGTCTTTGTAACAATATTTTTACCATCTTCGTTATACCACTAGAGTTTTGTTTTGTTTGTGTCTTTTTTTCTCTATCAGCGGACTTGAGATACACTCGGTCCTCATGAGGCGCTCAGGGATTGGGTGGTCAGGGAAGAGCGCGCGAGTCTTGTTATGGAATTCGGTATATATACCCTGATTTCTTGTCTTTCAAGCGTGGAGTAGAAAAGGGGGTTGGTCAGTCATAAAAGACAAAATAGCCTACTGGGGGGAGTTTAGCATGGGGTTTTTACCGGGTAATAGGCAGAAGGGAATCAAATGGCCACACGCCTCTTTCACACTTGTCTCGATGTGCATTAGTTGATGTTCAAGATGAAGTGACGTCGGTGACGAAGAGTTGGGAAGATGCCACGAGTGAGTTTTTGGTCCACAAGATATTCCGAAGAACTTTATTCGTAGGACACGCTTTAGGATGTCTGTACTGTTTGCATAGTTCTCATACTATCTGATAGTCTGCGATGGACTAAATCATGCTTTCATAATTCAGAGTTGTAACAGAAGGGTTAACTGGGAGCAAAAGAGGTGTTTGCAAAGGTAGGTCTGGTATTGAACAGAAGCTGAATCTTGCCTGCTTCTCGTCAGCGTTCCGTGCATTTCGTTGCAATATCTACATTCCGCAACTACGAGTCTCACAACGACTTTGGCGGATTTTCCCTCATCGAGGACGAATACGAGGGTAACAGTTCGCCCCCTCCAGGAATGACTACTTGCCCGACTATGCGGAGCTACCTTCGAGTACAACCGCTATGAGTCTCACGACGAGCCTCTAGACCAAACCGACGAGAGTGGTGAAGACTTCGAGCAGTCGAGCGCTATTGATCACGAGGATGACTACCTTGTGCCTTCAAGTACTGTTCAAGAGTGTGAATCAGCCAGGACCTCAAGGTACTATACCTACTTTAACTTGCTGGACAAATCAGCCACCAAGCTTACCGTCTCCGAAAGATTTGACATTTTACCCATCTTCGTTGTTTTTCAATACCCATCTCCCAAAAAGGGATATTTATTACAAAGTAAGTCTCGAATAATTCAATACAGCAGTCAACTAATTCTTCCACCACAACCACCGCATTCACATCACAGACTTTCCCTTTACCTTTCTCTCCACTATCTCGCAAGTACGCAAGATAGGATAGAACCGAAATGACGAATACACAAGAGCAGCAACAAACTTGCCAACCTCTCCATCGCCCAACATGGCGATCATCAAACGGACTCGGCCGTCTGCGCAACCGCTTCCAGAACCTGCCAACGGAGGTCCTGCTCGTCATCATAGAGCACGTCCTCCAGCCCGAGGCTCAAAAGCCGAAAATGCAAGCCCTCGCGGAGCATCTCTACCTCGGCCTCCTCAACGACAGATTCCGGGAGTTGATCACACCCATCCTCGAGTCCCACGTGCGCAGCAACTTCTCCCGTAACACAAACGCAAGCATGGGCACGACCTCACAGACAGATCCG